AAAAGAAGTTCATATGAAGGTTATTTTCTTTAAATAAAAGAATGTGTATCAAGCAGTCCTGGGCTGTGTACATATGATGAATAAAAATGCAAGGGGATGCAATTTTACCCCACAGGTCAGGCACAGTCAGTCAGTGAGTGCTGCTGTGGAGCACGTTAAGTCAAAAGCTACTGCCCTAGGCACAAGTCCAGCCAGAAGTTAAACTGAAGTACAGCCAGGAAGTGCTGCAATCCCACACCCAACCAAAACCAAACAGAAAGCACAACAGAAAGACTGAAGTCATTAGGTGTGCATACATAATATCTGGTCAAAGGTGTGTGAAGAATAGGAAGCTGTTGCAGACCTTGCAGAAGCAGCAGAACCTAGAAGGCACAGCTTCAGATGGGGTAGTGCTTCCACCCCCCAGAGAAAAGAGAGGTGGACACAAGAAGCATTTTGACTTGCACAGACAAAAAGAGCAGAAGACAGGGAAACAGAAAGCAGCAGCCCTCTAGCTTGCAGAGAACAGATTCCTTAATGAAAATAAGCCTGATGGCAGGACTGAATTGCTTTGTATCTACTGAGTACCTAAATGGAAAAGTGGTTAATAACACTGACATAGAACTTGTTTATACATCTGAGACATTCTGTGTTAAACACTATGGCTTCCGTGCTCTGCTTGGGAAAGTTGTTTATTTGATACGTCTCCCATCCCTACTCTTACTAGAACAATGTCATTAAGAACAGAACTGGAGCCCAACCTGCTGAGGCAACAGCAAAGACCTGGCAAGGAGCGCTCTAAGAGAAGCCAAGAGAAAACCAGAGTAGCAATTAGCTCCTTAACTCAATGTGAGTTCTGCCGTGCACTACATTTCTAAGAGTCTTCTTGGCATATGACACTTCATCAGTGTGGCTGGCAGGAAGCAGGGAGCACAAAGAGCTACAGCCATGGCAGGCACTCGCACCACACCAGATAACACATTTCTGTTGGTGGCTGCACGGTTGGCACATGATTCAGCAGCTTCAAGCGACACAACGAAATGCAAGCAGAGGAACCAGGAGTGTTAATTTTGCAAGAAATCACCCTTAGCAGATAAAACTTCCAAGTAAGCAGTGTCTGCTTGGAGAGGAAAATGGCCAAAGCAACTTTCTAGGAAGTTTATTCAGGGGGTCAGCAAAGCTGCTGCACAAATGTCACATCTGCACTAAAAGTTCCTTCTACTGTAAATACGTCCATTGCCATTACACTCTGCAAGTCTGCCAACCTACAAAATATCAGCAAATCATTTCAACAACACAGGTTTCTAGTTCTTGAGTGATGCTGGATAACGCACAGGAAATCACTGATCCACTGAGGGAGTCAAGACTTCTGGATTGTACCAGGCCTGTTGATGGCACCACTCCCTGTACTGCTGCTTGGATTACTCAAAATCCATTCTTTGTGCCCTTCTATTCCTGATGATAAGATTATAAATGATCAAATATTTTCAACTGTTGCTTAAATCTGTTATTTAATTATTTAACTTTCTGCTCCCAGAAGTTATAGCAGCCAACAGGCTAAGTAGCACCTGAAAGGGAGACCACCAAAAAAGGCACAAGCCACCAAGACATGATTCAACACTTGGCAAATCTCAGATGACAGAAAAAGTGACTTAGAAGAATTTACTCAACCTATTGTCTTGGTCTAGATGATAGAAGAGGAAAAGAAAACACCAAGAAAGATTTGTTACACCAAGCCCATGCTGGAAAACTCACCCTTCTTTTCTAAAACAAGCAAACTAGTTTTTGCTCTCAAAGGACTATGAGATTCCTCTCATTGTTTCAGGAATTAAATATTGCGTTATTCTTTCCCTTCCATGAATACTCTAAAAGAACACAGCAATTTAACCAGAATCCCAACAGTTGATTAAAACAACATAAAAGACTGAAAAGGAAGGGTTGTATTATATGAGATACTTCATGTGCCTCTTACAACAAATATAGGCTCCACTTGGGGTCAATACCTCGGAGAAAGTGGTAAGAAATCAGAATAGTAAGGGAAAAGCAGGCAATGAAAGAATTTCTTGCCTATTAAACAAGTGAAGAAGCTGCTTCAGCAAAGTGGTCACAGAAGCAGGATACGCCAAACTCCTATACTATGGGAAATTAATAAACTGCCTTTGTGAAATGAGTTGAAACATCTGAGTTTCAGCTTGAAACTATGAGTTGAGCTGAACATCAATTAATGTCTCAGCTGAGGTGCAAACTATTTCATTTTTAAACTAAAATAAGCTATTAATAAAACATTAACCTTAATAGCAATGACTTGACGTAGGTTGGAAGTAGGGTGCACACAAAAATTCTTTCTCAAAGTGTTATTGTGGAAGAATTAAGTGATTAAACTGACCGAAAGTGTGATGATTATTTAGCATTCTCCACAACTTTTGAAGATTTGTGCAATACGGATTAAAACAATTGCAGTGACTTCACCTCAGCTGCTTTACTGTGCACCCCACTGCTAACTCATGGGATGGCCCTGCCATCTCTCTGGGGTTGCCTTCAGGAAGCCCTGAGGAAGGATGCAGGCTCCAGGCCCCTGGCACAGACTGCTCATCAGCGTCTGTCAGAACCTTTTGACAGCAGTTCTCATCTAGGCATTTGCTACAGTTCTTCAGATGCTGAGAAAAATCACAAGCGACAAGAACTCACTGTTCCCTAACCTAAGAGAGCAACAACTTACAGTTCCATAAATTCCTAACACAATTCCCAACTCTTCTTCCAAGCCCAAGGTAGCAAGAGGCTTCAGCAAGCCTGTGTAATGCTCTTTCCACTGATCCTTGCTACCCTCAGAACAGTTTCCAGGAAGACATGAGCTATGGGTTCAGCAACTTCATATGGCATAAAATCGCAAAGCCAATAAGAACCCAGTTGTTGCCCCATTTTTTCCTGCACCCCAGCAGTTTGTTTTGTGCTGGCAAAGTATCACTGAAGTGAAATGAAAATCAGAAACTGGTCTGCTTTTCTTTTGCCTGACTAGGTTTAACAAAAGAAAAAAACAAACCGCCCCACTCTTTGCTTTAATTCTGCTCAGTTCCCCAATTTGGTACATAACAAACCACACAAACACCTGTGTTGGAAAGGACTTTGAAAGACATCACTGCCAGGACCGATTCTTTCCACTGCAATGCCAATAGATTACTAGCCTCAAATGTTTACCAGATCCTCATTTCAGAATTATTTTTTTTAGTGTAAATCACAGAAGATATGGAGCATTATTTTTCATTCTCTCCCAGGCAGTATAGAAACCTGAGAGAAGTTACATGGGTGATTCTTAAGAGAGATGCACTGACACACGATCTATGAGCCAAAATAGTCCGGTCTTACATGCTTTTTTTTTGAAGTTCAACAGGTGAGGATGAAGTACACCTTTGAAAACTCTTTGAAAACTACTATGAATGTTTTGGTAACATGTCTCAGAATTTTTTTAATTAGTATTTGGCTATTTCAATTGTACACTGTCAGCTCATTTAACAAAAAAAGGTAATAATAAAATTGTGAAGGAAAGTATATTTCCATGTTTCTGCCATTGCTGGTAGCCTGTAGGCCACATCAGATACTTAATAATATTTAAAATAACGACTAGAGGGAACCTAGAGGAGGAGAAGAAGTAACAGCCTTCAAAAAAGGGCAGACAGACAGCAAGAATGTTCAGGGGCTGCACAAAACAAACACCAAACAAACAACCCAATCCAACCTGTTCACAAGGTTAAATTATTTTCCCACAGTAATGTAAAAGTGAATCTGAACAGCTCATAGAAGTTACTGATAAATGTTATTTCTGTCATTTTCACTGGGTTTTTCCCTTACTTTACACATACAGCACTTAGTTGCTGGTAACAAAGATACTTAAAATACTGTTTCAAACCCTTTCTTTCACAAATATCAGCTTGAATTCCTTTGAACTCAAACTGAGAATAATCCCAAAGTATGCTTCTACTTCCTAATCTGCTGTTTCTTATTTACTGTATTTTAAGTGATTTCTCCAAGTGAGACTTTACTGGCAACTGTAAAGCTGTATGTCCATCTACAGGGCTCTGCCAAACCTCACAGAGAAGCACTGAATTCCAAACAAAAGAACTCACCACAAATTACTACACTGGCCACCATTTAACTGAGGAGCATGAGTGGATATTTCAAGGAGTCCCAGGACAACAGAGAGCAGAAATACACCTCTTACAAGTAAAGAATCTAAAAACAAGTTGCTGATAAGACTGCATCTGCAGGAACCTTAACTTATGCAAAAGAAAAAGCTTTTTTAAAAAATATGGATCTCAAAATAAGCTCCCACAAAGCATAGCTGTTCCAAGAAGGCCTACTCACTGCAACTTACATTTTAAACAAATGGCCCACTATTTTTACAAGAAAAATATTCTGCTTATATACATGGATAGAAATCACTTTGAAAAGACAAAATACATCTACTCTGATGTACAGTCTTTCATTTCCATATGCTCAATGAACTCCAAGATCCTGTCTACAATTAATTTGAGGAGAATCACACACATCTATGCAAAGGTGCAAAAATGCACCAACATATTTTAAGGTACAACCTTAGTTTTAGTTTTTAGTTTTAAAAACCCACAGAAGGCTGTGGGTTAGATCAAGTATGACTATATAAACAATGTTGACATTTTGTGTAATGAATTCCTGAAGAATAATAACTTGGATATGCGATATGCTTAGCAAATTATATAGCTACACATACGTAAGATTAAAAAAATAACATAAAAGGATTTTTCCAACTGTATTTAAGAAAACAAAAATCTACAGCTTGTATTTTTCAACATTATTTTCAGCAATATAATAACTCCCCAAAATGAAACTTCTTTCTGTAACAAATGGTCCTCCAAAGCCTTCTGAATATAGAAGCTCAGAGTTATAAAAATCAGTACAATGACCATCAGTAAAGCATTTCTGACCACTCAGCTTCCTATGACTGAGATCACAACTATGTCATTGTTCAAGGGCCACTTGCAACTTACATCTATTTAAGAAATTATCAATGTTCTTGTTCTTCCTCAGTGCTGGATAATCCAGATCAAGGACCAAAGAATTCAAGCCGTCCTGAAAAAAAAAATAAAAACAAGTTAATTGAGTTCTAAAATCTTAATTAACAACTTCACTAAAACTACTACACTGAGACTGATTATATATTATTCAAGCATGCATTACATTCCTAGTAGGCAAATCAAACAAGCTCTCAAGTATGTTTATAAACCAGTAGAGGAGCTAACACACACTGACTGGCTCCAAGTTCTATAAACAGTACAGCTATATTACCACTGATTAGTGGCACTGGGACTTAAACTGGAATAGTAGTTTTAATCTTGCTCATTAAACACTGATTTAAGATACTGAGTTCAGTCAGTCCATTTTTCCTATTTTCGTTCACAAGGATTTCATTACACATTTCCTGCCAAAAAACATTTGCAGGAAATGTTTGTATTATCCATATTATTGCTCTGATCACAGTCTACCTTCTTGTTCTGGATATTTGAAAACCAACTGCTCATTTTTCTTAGAAGCAAGATGTGACCTAAACTTAAGAAGACAATTCACCACGTAATTCAGGCTCACAAGACTAGATTACTTTTTCTAAGTGACTCAAAAGAAGGCAAGCCAGAACTCTACATACCATTCTGCTACCCATTATCAGTGCCTCAGCAGAAAACAATTGAGACCTCTTAAAATGGCAAAGGATGAGATCACCAAATCTAAACTAAGAATAGTATTTTAAATGCCTGTTACAAGACTTAGCTCAATTCCACCTTTCTGCAAGTCGGGAAAACTTAAAAAAATTACTCTAAAACACACTTTTCCAGTTACACATGGACAAACAAAACTAAAAATTAGTTTCAGATAGTAAGAGGAGGCAGAGATACTATTCATTGTCAGCAACTCCAGTGTTCAGCCTGAACTGGCAGTTTTATTCATTGCTCTAAGAACAAAATTCTGAGACTGTTTCTTCAGGTTTTTGAACCTTGATAGGGCATCATAGAGATTTAAGTCAGAGACCATATCATGTTTATTATAGGCAGCCAACAGAACTAGATAGCTTTTCAGTCTTCTTAACTGAGGCTATAGCTAACAATCTGCTGATTTCATAGCTTTTTCCTAAAATATCTGAGAAGGTATAATTTATTGAAAATATCACTAAAATCACTCATTCTAAAAACATATCTGGAGAGAGTCAAAGGCGAGGCCTAAGATTATTAAATACATTTTGAATGCCACTTTGTCCTAAATACACATATACACAAATAAGACTACCTCTGTGGAGATGTCACTTTGCACCACAAAATACATTAATGGTTAAGATCATTCTCAACACTAAGAGATTTTATTTATTTATTTACTTTTTACCTCCTGACAAATGAAAGCGTCTTACAAAGTGTCAGAGACACACTGACGAAGTACAGGTTAGACAAATGATTAAAAGCTGTCTGAAAGACTAGGCCCAGGAGACTGTGATCAGTGGCACAAAGTCCAGCCACCAGCTGTGCACCCCTGGACAGAGAAGATTAACACAAAGTTCAGTAAGGGGAAAAGCCGAGTCTTGCTTTGAGGGAAGGAATAACCCCAGGCACCAGGTATAGGCTGCAGCCTGAGAAGCTGGAGAGCAGCTTTGCAAAGAAGGACCTGACAGTCCTAGTGAACAGATGATCCTTCCTCTCTGCTCAGTACTGATGAGGTCACACCTGGAGTGCAGCATCCATCCCTGGGCTCTCCAAATCATAAAAAGCAAGGATTTACTGGAGCAAGTCCAGCAATGGGCCATGAAGATTAAAGCACTGGAGCATTTCTCAAAAGAGGAAAGGCTCAGAGAGCTGGGACTCATCAGCCTGAGATGGCTGAGATGCTCAGGGCAGGGGAGCTCATCAATGCGTATAAGCACCCGATGGGAGGGACTGAAGAAAAGGCAGTGCTCACTGACAGGACAAGAGACAATGGACACAAGGTAGAACACAGGAAATTCTATCTGAAAACTAAACTTTTTTCCTGTGGTCAAGCACTGGAACAAATTGCCCGGAGAGGTTGTGGAGTCCCCACCAGCGGAGATACTCTAAACCTGACTGGACCTGGTCTTGGTCAACCTACTCTAGCTGACCATGCAATGAGCACGGGTGTTGTACTAGATGATCTCAAGAAGTTCTTGCCAACTGCAAACATTCTGTGATGTAACACCGATAATATTTCCACTGCTGCTCAGAAAAAAGGTGGAATTTTACTCTTGAATCTATGTAACATAAACTGTTATGAATGTCTTACACATAGAGTTTTAGAATTTCCTAACAGAAAGAAACATAAAACAGTGTTAATAAACAAAAAGGGAAGTCATAGAATCATAGAATCAGCTGGGTTGGGAAGGACCTCCAAGATCATCAAGTCCAACCGTTGATACAACACCACCGTAGTTACTAGACCATGGCACTGAGTGCCACATCCAGGCTCACCTTAAAAACCTCCAGGGACAGAGAATCCACCACTTCCCTGGGCAGCCCATTCCAATGCCCAATTACCTTTCTCTGTAAAAAATTTCTTCCTAATATCTAACCTAAACCTCCCCTGGCAGAGCTTAAGACCATGCCCTCTTATCTTACTGATAGCTAGCTGGGAGAAGAGACCAACCCCCACTTGGCTACAACCTCCTGTCAGGGAGTTGTAGAGAGTGATGAGGTCTCCCCTGAGCCTCCTCTTCTCCAGGCTGAACAACCCCAGCTCCCTCAGCCTCTCCTCATGGGACTTGTGTTCGAGTCCCTTCACCAGCCTTATTGCTCTTCTCTGGACCTGCTCCAGCACCTCAATATCCTTCCTGAAATGAGAGGCCCAGAACTGGACACAGCACTCCAGGTGTGGCCTCACCAGCACTGAGTACAGGGAAGAATCACTTCCCTGGACCTGCTGGCCACACTGTTCCTGATTCAGGCCAGGATGACATTGGCCTTCTTGGCCACCTGGGCACACTGCTGGCTCATGTTCAGCCACTGTCAACCAACACCCCACCAGGTCCCTTTCTGCCTGGCTGCTCTCCAGCCACTTTATCCCCAGCCTGTAGCTCTGCAGGGGGTTGTTGTGGCCAAAGTGCAGGACCCGGCACTTGGCCTTGTTGCACCTCATCCCGTTGGAATCAGCCCAACTCTCCAGTCTGTCCACGTCCCTCTGCAGAGCCCTCCTGCCTTCCAGCAGATCAACACTCCCCCCAACTTAGTGTCATCTACAAATTTGCTAATGATGGACTCAATCCCCTCATCTAAATCATCGATAAAGATATTAAACAGAACTGGGCCCAACACTGATCCCCGGGGACACCACTAGTGACCAGCTGCCAACTGGATGCAGCCCCGTTCACCACCACTCTCTGGGCCCGGCCCTCCAGTCAGTTCCTAATCCAGTCAATAAAATCAATAAAGAAGGCACAGTAGTTGCTTTCATAATAATAATTATAAGAATTATTTCAGCTTGATCATAACTGTTGCTGCAAGACTCAATTACAAATTAAGGAGTGATGCACCAGGACATCATGCTCATCTTTCAGAGGGACAGAAGACTTACTACCTATTCTTAATTTTGACAACATTTTTACAGAAGATAAAATAAAACCAAATCAAAGTAACGAAGTTTTTAAATAATTATGGATTAATCACTTCATGAACTGCGCAGGTATTGCCCAATAACCCGGACAAATCCAATGGAAAGTACTGACTTCAGGTGATTTTCTGCAAAACAACATAATCCATACTACTCTTTATTTAGCAAGCACCACCTTCCAAAAAGGATATCTCATTCTGGAGCACAGTGTGCCAGCAGAAATACGGATCCTCATTTTGCAAAATGTAGAGAAGGACCATGCTGAAGGCCCCAATGGAGAACAGCTGGGCCACCTTTTAGGATTTTACCTAGCTCAGTAAAGTACCAATTCCAATTTGCTGGCAGTCTACACACTCCACCGAACTCCAGCATTCTTCTTTCACTGCCACAATATTCTCATGATCACTAACAACTGGGCAGACATTTTAAGGGAGATGTAAAAACACTATGTGCTAACACAAATCAGCCAGGAACACTTCTGTTCTTTGTATTTTAGAGAAGTGAAGTCACCTGATATTTTAATGCTTTTCATGCAAAGGTATTTTATTGGTCAACCAAGAAACTCATATATAGTGTGCTTGACTTCTACCTTATGCGAAAGGTCAGGCAAAAGAATAAAGTTATCAACCCGAACAAAAATTTTTGTAAAGTTGGATTACAAGGTCCAAACCAACTGTAACTTCCAATTTAAACAGAGTTGTGTATTAAAATTTCAGATGTCACTGGTTTTTTGCCTGTGTCATTCTGATTCCACAGCTTTTTTGTGGGCTATAAAAACTGAGAACCATATTTACTGCTAATTTTTTTATTAGCTCTTTCTGCCTCTTTTTCATGGACTCCTGGTAACAATTTTCACCAGTAGCTATTAATGAATGGTAATTTGAGAAAGTGCAACTGACAATTATTAACTATTATTAACTATTTGGAAGTGTCCTAACTCTTGAAGACAGCCAGCTACAAGTGGTGTCAAAGAGAGGTGATTAGTATCATCACCACAACAACAGAAAGTGTCAATTTTTTTTTAACCCCGTGAACAAGCTTTATTATCCTACTCCCTCAAAGACAAGTGGGGTTTTTTTAAAAAAAAAGTTTTTGAACAAAATTTTACGTTCATAAGTTCATATCAACAGGTAGTTTATGAAAGACTTGTCTTGCACATTAGCATTTTGTCAAAAGTTGTTTCCTTAAAGCTTTACATTTTCATTGAAAGACCTAGTTTACATTACTTAACACAAAAATTCACTACAATTAAGAAGCTGGGTCAAAAGATTACACAGTAAAACAGACTGTTCAGACTGAAGAGAAGTAATCCAGGAAATGACGTTGCCTCTGTCTAGGCCTCAGAGATAAGTCACTTCAACCAGGAAATATGCTATTAAAGGGATTTCACTGTTCACTTCCTCTTTCTGCTCCTACAAAAGACTCAGAAGCTCACAGGCCAAAAATAGCAGCTTCCAAACAAACGCACCACTGGC